CCCCCCCCAACCCCCCCCCCCCTGTTCTGGAGATTATTTGAAAGACATGATCCATTTATCATTAATATTATGTATGTTAATTATGCGCATCGGCTTTGTCTCTCCCCCCCAACCACCCACCCACCCTTCCCGCCCCCGCGATAGGTGGATGAGGAAAAGGAAAAGAATAAAAAAATCATGCGTACGATTTAGATGAAAAAAAAAATATATATATATATACATTGTAAAGGTACAGCCGCATATCCAATCCCTGTTTATTGTACACGACGCGCTTATCGGGTGACGTATATAACGGAAGTGACGCGATTCTGGTGACTCGCAAGAAAAATATTAAAAAAAAAAAAAGCACTTTTTATTATTGTATCATTATTATTATCGATACGTAAACAGTCGCGATTGCGGATACGCGAACAATCAGAAGCAATCGTGAACGTGGAAAGCCCCCTTTATTATTGACGTTTTCTTTGGATTCTGATATCACGCGAGAGAGTAGCATCCGGAAATGGGGAGAAAGAAACATTGGACGTGGAAATAATTGGAGGAAAAATTAATGCGATCGAACACACCGGCAGACGCGCCAATTAACATGGGAATTTTCTTCAGTGGGACGTTTTATTGTTGGCGATGATTAGGGGAAGGAAAGAAAATAATTAAAAAAAAATTTAAGTATAGAATAACAACCGAGTCACGCTGCGATACTATCGTGGGACGTTTTAGTCGCGTATATTATGTATAGAGAGAGAGAGAGAGAGAGAGAGAGAGAGAGAGAGAGAGAGCGCGAGAGAGGGAGAGAGATGAAAAAAATAAGAATGATTTTACAAGAAATTCTTGCGTCGCGATGTACTGTATACGTGGGATCTCCTTTTGCGGTTCTTATATATACATACATATATATATATTTGGAGATGATATACAAAGATTGAGAATTTTGGAACCGAAAGGAAAAATTTAGGGGTTAGAGAGCGAGAGAGTGACGTATGGACGGCGAGAAGAGGAAAAGAGACGGACGATAAAGTAATCGGGATGTTCGATGTAATTGGATTTTGGTATGAAATTTGGATTATAAGAAAAAAAATTTGCCAGGTAAACAATTATTAAAGCGCGATTCGTATAACGGCGTCCGTATTATTCTGTTTATCTGTTTGCTAAAGAAATATCGCTGTTGCATCATTTTCTTCGGACTCTTCGACCGTAACTGATTTCCGTTTTCATGGCGCCGCGACGCACTTTTTCTCTTGTATGTGACATTGGGGGTAAAAGTCAAAAGAGCACGTCCCAAAGGAAGCCGAACGATCGAACTAGACGAAAGGAGAGCCTCTTTTTTTCTTCTCCCACGATGAAACGCCGCTTAAAAAAGGGGAATGCGATTTGAATGTAGAAACATTAAGAAAAAAAAAAAAAAAGAAGAAAAAAAAACAACAACGCGAAGGGAGGTACGCGAAGCGTTTACTAATTTTAATAATTAACTGTGCCTCGAGAAGGACGTCTCACCGGGATACGACGATTGTAACAGGAGAGATAGCCCTCTCTCGGAAAAACAAAAAAAAAAACAAAAAAAATCTTACGTTCACTATCATTACTACACTTAGCCCTCTTTAGTCTATTCACTTGAAACCTCTCTATGAGCCATGTCCCGACCTAACCTCACCTGACTTACCCGTTGAAAACAAATAAGGATTCAACCCACCCATCCGAAACCCACCTTTCACGTATAAAAGCAGCCTGACCATCTATTCTACGTACAATCTTCATCCAACACCTATCTCCCCCCCCCCCCCCCCCCCCCC